TTTGTCTCTTCTAATAGTCTTTATTTTAAAGTCTATTTTGTCTATAAAGTCTATGTAAGTATTGCTACCCTGGCTTTCTTTTGATTTCCATTTCTGTGGAATACCTTTTTTCCATCCCCTCACTTTCAGGCTGTATGTGTCTCTAGATCTGAAGTGAGTCTTTTGTAGGCAGCAAATATGTGGATTGTTTTTGTATCCATTCAGCCAATTTCTGTCTTTTGGTTGGAGCATTTGGTTTAAAGCGTCCATTTTTTGGTAAGCACTTCTGGTACAAATTTCCACATGGACCAGTGTTATTATTTACAGACAACAGACTGTACTGTAAGTAGTTTAAGCATAAAGTGATTAATTTTAGAGCATTAAGTAGCATATAGAATTTCCAAGAGGGTCAGGGAGCTAAGTTTTGATACTACATAATCAGGAACAACATAGTGTAGAGAAACCTTAAACTACCTTGGATTGTTTTAATGCAAACGCTCCTATTTCTGTTGCATGCTACTTGACATGCATGATATTAATGGCATGAGAGTAGAACTTCAGCCACAGTTACCCCAGGAGATCCAAATCCTCTTCTCCTTGTTGGAAGCTCTGATCTCTCTATGTGGCTGCCACCTGCCATTGTTTGCTTATGCATCACAAGTCTTTAAAAGGAATTTTGCAAGAGAATCTTATAGAATTTTCTTCTACAAGAAGCAGGACAAGGTGTTTTTCAAGAGTTAATTTGAATCCTATGTGTTCAACTGTTAAAGATGAAAAACTTCAAGGTAAAATCAACTGTTAAAGATGAAACTATTAAAGATGAAAAACTTAAAGGGAAGATCAACAGTAAGGACAAACAGAAGATTCCTGTCAAGTGTAGTGAAATCATCAAGTGGCTTGATAAGAACCAAACTGAAGAGAAGGAAGAATTTGAACATCAGCAGAAAGAGCAGGAAAAAGTGTGCAACCGTGTTGTTTCCAAGCTGTACCAGAGTGTAGGAGGCATGCCAGGAGGAATGCCTGGGCATCCCTGTGGTGGAGCTCCTTCATCTGGTGATGCCTCCTCTAGGCCCACCACTGAAGAGATTGTATAAGCCAACGTGAGCATAGAGGTAGCATTGTTCCACACCAAACACTGAAGGACCTGAATTCATAGCAAATTCTCAGTAGTTTTAAGTTGAGTTCCTATAGTAAATAACAGCATTCTTGATACTTGAATGTGGAATATGTGCACAGGGAAAGGAAGTAATATGGCACTTTATAAGCACTGTATTCTAAGTGAAAAATGGAATGTCTTTAATAAAGCTATTTAAAATTGATACCAAAAATTGGTTATGCTTTACAAGTCTCTAAAAATGTATTTCTACAAGAGAATTCTTCTAGATTTCTACATGAGAACCTGGGTGATGTAGATATTAGCTTTCTGGCACGTGAAGGTGGGTACACAGAAGGAGCCTGAAGTGGATGTTGAGTATACCAACTCAACTGTTATCTTCTGCAACTTCTATGGAGTCTAATGAGAAGTGATTGTGAAGACATAAATATGTCAGATTGTCAGTCTACTTTGAATATTCAAGAAGACCCTCTATTGTGGAAGTGTAATCTAGGTTATTAACTGAGACTCTGTGGGGAAACAATCCATTATTCTAACTCCATTCTCTGAGAGACACAGAAAGTATCGTCCTTCTATTTTAATGACTTGCCTGTTAGAACTGTTATAGGACCTGGATGCCTCATTTCCTGATTACAAGGAGAAGCCATCCTTTGTAACAGTGCCTTAGGGAAAATTGGCTATGGGGGTGGAAAACTAGGTTGAAACTCTGGCTCTTTTTCCTTTTTCAAGACTGCACATTTCTCAGTTCTCTAAGATCTAGTTGAAGTTTTAAGACTTTGTTATTGCTTTCACAGCAAGGAGAAAGTCATAGCACAGGTTGATAGGCTGTAGCCCACTGCTGCGGTTCTCCTGGAAGTTTCTTCCAATGGCATACCAGTTCCTTTTTAACCATCCTAATAATGAAGTGTGTTTAGCAATGAATGCTGTTTTCTGGAAATATTTCATCTTCTCTGAAAAAGCAGTTTGTCTTCTCAGATAATAAACCACAGGGGCTCTTGTCCTTCCACTTGCCATTTTCTCACATTCTTCTAAGGTCTGAGTGCTCAAAAAAGATCTGCGATCTTTCTGCAAAAATACTCTTAAAATGCGTCTCTGAGAGCTTTGCTGTCTCTAACAGAAGCAACATGACCCTTGGCTAAGGGCAAGAGCTAAGGGGCGACCGTATGTTTCAGTGCCTGAAAGACTATTCTTTTGGTAGGAAAAAGAAACTTACAAAAATTCCACACCTACTTAGGAACCTTGTTCAGGCAGTGAGGAGAAACTATGGACTATATTTTAATGAGAAGTATATTCTGCCTAGGAAAGAAATGTTTGGGGAAAAAACTGCTCAAGGGATAAGGATTGTCTGGCCAGCTTTGTTAAGAAATAGAAATGTGTTCTTTTTGGAAGAAAAAAAAAGATCTTCAGAAAGAGGAATTTTAGAACAGAAGTTTTTCAAGTGAGTCAGGCTCGAATCCAAATTCTAACTATACCGTTTGCTACCTATATAAATTTGGCCAAATTGTTATCTCTTTGAAACAAAAGTTTCGACATCAGCATAATGGGTATAAATATTAATAGTTGACCATAACAATATTGTGAAGAGTAAGTGTAATAGTATATAAAAATATTTTGGAGTCTGGACATAGCCAGTAGCTGTTATTATTACTGGTGATTTTATAAGCATCCTGAACAATGTTAAGATTTCATTGGAACATTGAACTGGAGAGCTTTTCCAGGTATATGTAATTGATCTCTTAGTTTTATTTGTAAATAAAAATACTTAACATATTATATTTAAACTGTATATGACAGATAATGCTTGTTGTCTACACGATATCTTTTCTCCGATTTTCCTGACAAAATCCTAATGTGCCATACTAAAAAACTAGCATTTTTGCAGCTGAAAGTGATTATTTTGACACAGCTCTGACCAAGGAAAAGAAAGCAGACGTCTGTGAGTGATTTCTGGAGAAGTTTTCCTTTCCTACTAGTACTGTCTCCTCTTTTTTCTTGTCACTTCCTTGTTTTGCTTTTTGGTCAGAAAGTTGAGATGAGGATGGAGGTAGAGTTCCCGTCTTGAGGCCATAGAGAGACCTTGAGGTTGAGGGCGCCTCTGACTGAGGATGAGAGCAGAGAGAAAGAAGTAACTTGGGACAACTGATGACACTGTGGAGATATTGCCTTGGACTTCCTCAACCAGAAGTTTTTTGAGGAACAATAAATTCTTATTTGGTAATTCCTGAAGTAGAGTTTCTGTTATATGTAGTTTAAATTAATCGCTACCTGGTGATTCTTTCTGTTTGCTGGCAGCATGGTATTTACTTTTCATGAACTGATTTGGCCCTAACAACAGCCCTATCCTATAAAGTACAAATATTACTCCCATTTAAAAGATGAAGAAAGCTCAGAATCATTAAGGAACTCATGTGTGGTCACATGGCCGTTGTATGGAAGAGCCAAGATTTAAACCAAGGCAGTCAGACTTCAGAATGATTATTTATACCTTCATTTCACTCTGCAATGAATTTCAGATTGCTTTCAAGAACTTTACACAACAAAAGAAACGAGTACCAATAAAATATCAATATAAAACTCCCAAAATATTGGTGCCCAGGAAACTATGAAGTTTACTAGGAGGTAAAATCTGAAGAGGCAGTGACAAGGGAGAATAGAACACAGGTGTATGGACTATACAGTTACCTTAGGAAAGATCCACAAATTTAGTGACCAGCGTTTTGGTAGCTAAGGGAAGGTAGGGTACTTTTTTGTGTGAGAAGAAACATTCTTAATGGGAAACAAAGGTTTTCCTAATAGTAAATTCTAAAAGCAGTTGCTAACAGAGTTTCACATAGGCTTGAGTACGAATAAGAGACCATGTTAAGACATAGATTCCTGGACCGCATTCTCAGATTCTGATTCGGTAGGTCTCTAGTAGGGCCTGAGAACTTGCATATATTCCATACTTCTAGGTATCACTGATTTTACTTGTTTGTGGACTGCATTTTGAGTAGCATCGATATAGGACACAGATCACAAACTTACCTGCCCAGAGGTACCAGCCAAGTATATCAATGACTGAAGTGGGCCACCTGCAAGACAACAGGGAGGGGTTGCAGCAAATTAGCAAGTAAATGCTTCATTTTAAAGGGTTAGCTTCTTTTCAACACCAGCCAATTGTTGCCTTGTGAAAATGCAGGCAAATATTACTAGATTTTCAAATGTTTCAAGAGAAACCCAGCGCTATCAAGAGAAAATTATGTGAAATTTCTAATTCTAAAAATACTGTTCAGGCCAAGTACATCTATCTCTTAATTAAGGGACTGTAGGGAGTGAGCATAACTTACTGCCTATGTTATAATTTCTCTATATTTTTGTGAGTTTCATAAAATGTTTTTCTGCATATTACTAACCTAGTCATTTTTGGTTAAAGAATTCCTTCTGAGATAATATGTGTTTATGGTTTTATTGTTAGTTATTTAAGGCTTATTTCTGTTCCTAATGTAGCTTCTTATAAAAGTGGTAGGTAAATGTGTATGACTGCAAAACTCATTCCAGTATCTCAAAACTGAGATGTCTGCTTCCATTTCCTTAGAAATCAAGGATTAATGTAAAATGGGTAATTCTAGGGCCCCAGGATTTTGCAAATGAAATTCTAGTTTTTGGTCCAGATTCCCAGCAAATATGAACTAGAAGATTTCACATAATCTTTTCTTCAAGGCAGTTTTTTCTTCCAATAAATGAACAGAAATCTCTTTTTGAAATTTCTACAATAGTTTCTCTTTGTTAACCAATCCTATTAATATGCTGTGATAGCACTTTTATTGTTTAATAATTTCTTCCTTTTTATTTCCTGTTCTCTTTTATGAGAACACTTAATATTCAGATATTGACCTATTAGACTAATTCTCTAAATATTTGCTCTGTAGCTTCTATGTAGATTCTTATAACATTAAGAAAGTTCCTTTCTGTTCCCATTTGGCTAACAGTTTTATTTTTTCACAAATGAATTTTTAATTTTATCAAATGACACGTTTGCATCTATTGAGATTTTCATGGTTTTCTTCTTGTTAATATGAAAGATTTCTTAGGCTGATTTTAAAATGGTAAATAATCTCCAGATTCCTGAAATAAACCCTACTTGAATAGGATGTATCATAATTTTTACATATTGCTGATTTGATTTTCTAAAAATTGAAAATGATGTTGGATCTCTTTATAAAAAACATAAGCTTGTAATTTTCATTTTTATAATGTACTTGTCAGACTTTGAAATCAGGTTATACTGGCTTTATCAAATGAATTAGAGATGTTCTTTCATTTTTATTTTCTGGAAATAAATATTAAATAATCTTACCATTTCTTCCTTAAATATTTGGAGGATCACCAATGAAGCCAGCTGAATTACAGATTTCCTTTTTAAAAAATTCTTATTTTTAAATTTTAGTTTAATTTTTTGAAGTGTAGTTGATTTACAATGTTAGTTTCATGTGTACAGTAAAGTGATTCTGTTATACATATACATATATATAATATATATTTTTTCAGATTCTTTTCCATTGCGCTCATTACAAGAAATTGAATATAGTTCTATTCAGTAGGTCCTTGTTTTTCATCTATTTTATATATAGTAATGTATATTTCTTAATCTCAAAATCCTAATCTATCTTTCCCCGCTCTCCCCCCACTGGTAACCACAGTCTGTGAAGCTACAGATATTTTTGTGGAAAGGTTTTTAATTAAAGATTCAGTTTCTTTAATAGATATAGGACTATTCAGATTTACTATTTTTCCTTATGTTAGTTTTAGTAACTTTTGTTTTTTCAGGTTTTTGTCCATTTCATCTACATTTTCAAATTAGTTAGCATAAGATAGTTTATAATATCATGATTTTAAAAATGTGTAGTAAATCTGTGATGTCCCCTTTTTATTTCTGACAAGGGTAATTTGTGCCTTTCTCTTTTTTCTTGATAAGAGTTACTAAGTATTAATTATTACTCTTATTAAACAACTTTTGGCTTTATTAGTTTTTTTCTACTGAATA